ACAGACCTCATGAAAGTGACCCTGTTACGAGCCACACTTGACACAGTGCCATCCTTCCATGTTGAGCTTTCAGGCCAGAAAATGATATGGAGAAGACCGGGTTGGATATCTGTGGAATTCAAGAGATAGAGCCCAGGTCGCAGGTGTGGTCGAGAGTACCCGGACCTCTCGTCGTTCGGTGCCAAGAGTAAGGTCGTTCTATCCAAATCCTATAAGCCGAGATTTAGAGAGACAAGATGGCAGAACTTACGTCTCTTGATCGAGTTTTCCGAGTCGTTCCAAGAATTTCACAAGAGCAGACATGCTGCCATAAATGCCAAGGGGTTTTATGGTATGGTTGTCGAGGGCATGGAAGTCGACCTTGGGCGATGTCAGACATTTACGGATGAACGTCCAATATTAGGCTTTACACACTTGAAATTCTGAGCGATAGGATCCGGGGTGCAAACAGTTGGCGAATGCAGCGACAGACTTTTGATCAATGATGACTTTGTCGACTATAATGCCGATCAGGATCAATGCCATGAACAAATAATGACTCTTACCTATGCCTCCAGACCCTTCTTCATTTACCAGATCCAATAAGCGGTACATTCCTGGGATGCGGTCCAGAAGGTCGAGAGATGGAGCTGCCGCCGGTTCCTCTACGACTACCTGGTGGTTATCCCCTATGGGATTCTCGAATGTACGAGTGTCCAAATCGGTCGAAGAAGACTCTTTGTCGAGGTGAGAAGGCTGTTGTTCACCAACGTCCACCACAGTAGTGGAAATCTGAGATCGCGCGGATACCATTTCCAAATCATGATCAGAATCTCCGTCCTGTTCGGCATTGATTTCGATCTTCATCTGGACTTTGGGTCGGTGTAAATGGCTAGAATGGCCGGTAAGCAATAGAATTAGGCACGACGTTCTTCTTGATGTGGACTAGAGGGTCTTGGTATAAAGCGGAGAGAACTTACATTGAAAACTATAGAGCTATCAACTACGCTGGAAGGAAATGGGATTCCTGGGTAATAGCTTGCACTGATGCGCTTTTTATAGGGTCGCTTGAATCCTGGTTTGCCAGGCTCTGTGACGGTCCTTTGCGCCGTTGACCTTGTGACCATGCTTTATCATCTAAATAGGCCGCTAAAAAAAACCGTGACCAATCCAGAAGCGAGCATTGAACTGTTCCCCCAAGGGAACCATCTCGCTGGGTGCGGGTGCTGTCTCGGCTAATCAGGACAAGTCCAAGCGAAATTGACCGTACAACAAACCAAAAAGATGGTTATAATACCGACAACGCAAAGGAACAAGAATCAACTGAAATGGTCAGGCTCAGCCTCGACGCGCGGCGACATATGTTATTTCATATTGATAACATCAAAACGGTCGCTGCTCGTTCTCTTGCGATTCCCAGTCTGATTCATAGGGAGCATTGATGGCCAAAGACGCGTCGCTTGTCCTTGTGAGGAGGGCCTATCAAGATTGACGTGACGTTCAGGCATGGTCGGTACCAAGCATCAAGATCGCGTGAGAGCCTCTTCATCACCCAACCAAAATTTCCTGAAAATTCACAAAAGAAAGACGACTGCATCTACTTGCGCGCGTCTTACCGTTATACTCCTTGCAAGTTTCAAATCACCACTCTACATTCTACTAACCCCCGTCAAAAGAAGACCAAACTGGTGCAACTGGGTCAGGCACTCCTCACATTAACGAGCGGAGAGTCATAGCACTACTAACCATTACGGAAGGATTCTTATTTAGGATACACCTCAACCCTAATATCGTTGTAGTTCGGAAACAAGTACCACTGGGCCTATCCTACTTTAGTACCGTACTCTAACTGGTGCCTCAAATGACTATTGGTATCGAAAGGTCTCGGAAACTAAGTTCGGTTCTCATTTACGTAACAGATCGAATGCACTTCCACTTGAGAGTTACCGAACTACGAAATCCAGTCCTCTCGACTAACCAAGTTTGGAAGACAGCCATTCACTCAAGGAGCCTTTCTCATTACCCATGACTCGAAAACAAGTAGCCGAATGGAATATCAGAATGTAACATTTGGGGCGGAAATTTATTTCGTAAAGGATATCCTCTTCAATCAAGAGGCTAGGTAGTTCGTAGTGAACAAGAGATATGAAATGTGGATGAAGCGACATCTGGTCTAGATCCTTGACAATGCGGCTCTAGGGTTCTTCAGTGACTCTGCGATACTCATGAACGTATTCGCTAATTGTACCTATTGGGAGTTGAGCTGAGACTGTAGCTCACCGAAGATATAGGGACACTTACGGTATCCAATGCTGCAGTATAAGCACATGGATTCACGCCGGCAGGGGCCAATGGATCCCGTGGTGCCGAAGCATATACCTCATTCGCAATTGTCGCCATCCTTCGCAGATAATGAGAGTTGGACTCAGTACCAAAGGAAACAGAGTGGAAGGCAAGTGGTTTCCTGACAATATATCAGTACGGCAAAAGGCCGACTAAAGGCTGAATCACCCTAAGCGCACAGCAGTCCTACAGAGATCATAAATCGTGGCGTCCGAGATGGCGCACTCTCCATCCGACAGGAAAATGACCACTGGGGAACTATATGATGCCAATCAGATGAGAAGTATCGGTCTAGTTGATACGGACCGCTCTGTAGACCAAGTGTCCTCCATCTGCTGTTGTATGGTTTCTATAGCACGAGTGAAATTCGTGCCGCCATAGTAATTTGCATTGTTCAAAATTAAATCGAGGAGTTGATCGGGATCACTCGACGTGTCGTTGGATATGGTAACCTACAATTGGTTTAGAGCATGAATCATTCAAAAGGTTGACCTACTGATGCCGACGACTCAAACGTAATGATGCTGTATGCGTCTCGTCGCATCCCATTCTTAGCACCGGCCCTAACAGCCGTCTCACGGGCAGTCCAGAAGCCATAAATAGAGGAGATGACAGCGCCAAATCTATTATCCGCCTTCTGAACGATTTTATTGGTGGCTGGTGAGTGTGGAAGTGGGCGTCGGTCCCTGCTCGTCATGGATCCAGATCTGAGATCAGTTAGCACCCTTTCTCTATCAGCACCAAAGGAGACCCTCCAACCTATCTAAAGCAAAAAATCTACCATATATAGGGTCAGTGATTTAAAATCTAAAAGCAAAGAAACAATCACATATGGAAGGAGCGCTGCATCTCCGCTGGGTTCTTGCAGTTGTAAGCATGCCCATCTTGAGAAATATGTCCCAATGGTGGCGCGTCTGCCGCATCAGCTGGCCCGTGGAATAGTGGTAGAGTACAATAAGAAGCGACTGCATTAGGGTTGGTATCCTTGTCATGTTCGTCACCTGTCTCATGTCATGAGCCGTGTAAGTCCTTTTGATTGATCGATTTTTCACTGACCCCCACAACGATGATCACTGGAGAAATGTGGTCAGTACAGAACCCAATCGTAGTCACTCGACGAACCAAAGGTCGAAATCGGCTTGCTCATTATTCGTATATGGGTCTGTGGACGTCAGAAAGATGGATCAAGTCATAGTAACCAACAGGATCTCACCTTTGAAACCTAGGTGCAAACAAGTTCAGTGGCATTCATAAAAATAAAAGTATAATTACCACTACGAGCCCAGAAAAGCCTATGGGTGATCCAATCATGATTCCCAGGTCCATTTTTTTGTTTGATGTGCTCAACTCCTGCATCACTGCAATTTGCTGGATCATCAGCACGACAGGTATCGATATGAGCATGCCTCCCTAATGTTTTACATAGCATGGAACAGAGCATAGGGGCGCCGCTATCTCCTGTCGCATATTTGCGCCCTTCTAGTTCCAAGGTCGCATCATCGTCTCCCTCGATGACCCATTCAGTTTGTGACATTGAGCCATGCGATGTCTCGTGTTCGTTTTGCGGATGTCCTATAACGAGAAATGAGTGGTAATTGTGCACTTAAACTGGAAAATATACCTAACGGGAGAGTGCAGTAGTATTCGCAATGTTTACAGCGTTCTTCGCAATAATGGAATGCCTTAGGATCTTGAGAATGGACATGAGGTCCAGCATGTTTGAGTTGGTTCGGTTCTATGGGAACATCACACGGCAGTCGTCTTGCTTCTTGGGTATACTATGGACATATCTTAGGCGACATTGTCAATAGGTGAACAATCTTACCTTTGTGTACTGATAAGTAGCATGCTTGCCAATAAAGGTGGACTCTATCGATTGCGGAGTCGTCAAGATTTCACATATTCCAGGTCGTTGACATAGTTGTTGACAGTTATGCCTTTGACTACAGTGACGGCTTGAACCGCGAAGTTCCTGGCTCGTACTAAGTGGTACCACTTACCCGCAAAGATGAACTGCATTATGGTCGAGCGCATGAAAGTGATCCTCGACTTGGCAGAAAGAATTACAAAGTTGACATTTGATGGGGCAGGAGAAAGATCGGTCACATGTATGCTGGGTGTGCTCCCGTCGGCTGATAAGGACAGGTCAATGTAAGGTATTTTCACAACAGTCACAGGGGCTTACCAGTCCGTCACACAGGACCTGGTACATAACCGTGTTCCATCTGATTTGATGAGGCTACAAGGCTCTCCGCAAGCATGGATTTTTGCAGCGCAAACGTGCTCTTCACCCTCGTCATGGCCCATAGGCTATATTGAACTTCATTAATCCGTGTAATAGAATAGCTCCCATACATACCTTGCAACACGAGCCTAAACACCCTTCCTTCTCACCTAATTTACACGGGAGGCCACATACATGTGGGGTTCCAGAACATCTGTATAGAACATCAGCAAAGATCTAAAGTTACAAACGTACTTACACATGACGACCTTCGTGCCCAGCTCTATTGATCGGTTAGCGTGGTTTCACAAGGAATGACAACGATACAAACGGGATATCACACTCGGGAATTTCAGCTTCATGTTGATCAATGAATTCACAGGGGTGAACGCATCGGTGAGAAGTCTGGCAATGATGCTTTCCTGTATGTTGCTTGTGTTCGAGGCAAATCAATCCACAGGAGGAGCATTTAGAACCGCACAGCGTTACGCTAGCTCGAAGCTCTTTGGAGTAGCTATCGAAGGTCCGGATGAGAACTGTGATCTCGCCTTTCTCCCCAAAGCGTTCCGTGTTTGCGGTAAGCCATTGTGAGACATGCTTGAGACGAGCTTCAACTAGACCGGCGAGGTGAGAGCTCAACGCCTTGAAGAAGTCGGCCTCGCCAATCCGATACCGTGCGTCTCGCCCCTGGTACCCCATGCGAAGGGTCCTGAGGCAATCATGAAGAGATAACCCAGAAAGAATAGGATTATCAGGGAGTTCAAGGTAAAATGTGGCCATTCCATCATCACTTGACAGGACTTCATCTGAATCAAAGTTCTTCGGGAATTAGAAAGCAAAAATAAATTCTGAGGAAATCTTACTTTGAGGGGTTCCTGAGTATGGGGGTCGGTGGTTCCAAAACAAAGAGCCGAAACTAGAAGCGAAGAAAGTTGCTCGGCCCTCTGGATTGCCAAATTTGCTTTCGGCAATATCAGCATTGTTTACTCACATCTTGATGCAATAACTTACAGTCAAGGGCTCCCCAGTCATTTGCCTGTGACGGATTAGAGAAATTAACTATCTGAAAGGTAGCCCTTACCTTTAGTTTAGCCATCAACATCTTGAGAGCAGACAGAAAAGCACCAGCCCGTGCGTGTGTGAGAGGCTGGCCATCGAGTCTCTTTTTAAGGGCGCCAAAATAATCATAAAAGCGAGAAGATTCAATAACAGGCCAAGGGATGATATCCAGACGACCTCTGTGTAGCTTCGTGATAAAGTTATCTTCTCTTTCTTGCTGTACAATACGCTGGAATTTCTGCTGAAACCTAGGACGCCAGTAAATGCTCTGCTGAGATAGAAGAATCACACTCACTCATTGACTATTTCCCTAGTATCGGAGTCGATGACATCCTGCAACCTATCAGAATTTGAATGATGTGACAATGTAAATGACTACCTTAATAATGATCCCCAGTGTAGCATTGAATAAACTGGGGTTGGAAGCGGGATCCAGAACGTTTGTACATGATTGGAAGCTCTGTTGACTAGTTAGCTTGGTTGTCCACAAAGGGATAATAGGTATTAACCGTAAAGAGTCCTGTGATATCCCGAGAAAGGGCAAAGTTGTTCCTAAATAAGACCTAAAATCCATCAGCAAAAGTCGTCAAAACCAGGAAAGATGAGCACAAAGTTCGAGATGGCAGCATTGAGCAGGACCAGCAATGTATCTGAATCAACATTGTTCAGCGTAGAATATTTGGTATTGAAGTGTATCACAAAGTACCTTCCTGGGCACTGCGCTCAATCGAGTGAACACCTACAAACGTAAGAATGGGTTTATCTCCATTTCAACGGGACATACCTTCAAAATCTATAGCCACAACCAAATAGTCTCGCGTAGGAGTGACAGACAGCCAAACACCTTCCGTGCAACGCATCGCAGATCCCCTTGGAGTCGATGTTAAACCGGTCTGACCTGGTATGAATGAAACTCACGCAAAAGAGGTATCAACGAAATGATTTAATGCGAAACTTTTCCCAACGGATTGTTCGCCTGTTATTTATCAGTGCATATAGAAGGGAGAAAGGATGAATTTACCCATTGAGGTGACAACCTTTACTGGCTACGGAAGAATGAGAATAAATTATGACAATAAGAGATACTATACTAACCTTTCTGGCCAAGTAAGAACTGAAAATACTCTCGTACCAGCCAAAAGATAACCTATTACAATATTAGAGCAGAGTAGAAGCATGGATAACCTGAACTCACGCTTCCGATATTTGTGCAACGTTAGCTCCCAGTAGAGACCTTTCAAAGTCGGGAGAAGATACTCCATCTTTCAGTGGAACAAACCGGTTGGATTTCGTAATGGCGAGATGGATAGGAATGAGGCAAAATAGTCCAACTAGCCAATCACCTGCTTGAAGTTCTGAGACTGGAGAAGGGGTGGTGGTTGGATCCCATTCGGAACCTGCTAACACTTTCATCTGCCTTAGCATCCCCTTCGTGGGCTTTCGAGTCTTGACTTCAAACTCTTTGATCATGGTCGAGAAATATGGCGCAAAGGAATGTGCTGGCGCAGATGACACGAAGTTGACGGAACGAGGAAGGTGTATGGCAGCTTCAGTAGTTTCTCTTTTGATAGGGGCGTGAACCGGGAATCGAGTCCAGACTTCGGCATGGCAGTCAATCAATGAGTTATTGATAGTTTCCCGACCGGATCCTTCATTTAGCACAGAAGAATGGTCGGAACGGAAGCTGAACTCGCTTGATTTATGAGTGACTTGCATAAGAAGAGAACGGCAGGCATTATTGTCGGGATCCAAGAAGATAAGATGGGTGATGGACCGATGTCCAAGGGATGACACCACCATTGGAGAGGATTCTGGGACATTTTCTGGCCAAGGTATTTCAATACCCTGGTGGGATCCAAATGAAGTACAGTGAAAGCAACGGATACTGATAACGTTCTCTTTGTCCAATTTGACAAATAAACATGCACCGTCAGGACTGGAGGCCGCATTTACGATCTTTCCCTCGAGCTTCAAGGTTGAAGGCCTTCAAAATGTCATTCAAAGCTTAATGTAAATTGTGAAGTACAAACCTGAAGTTCTCTGTGATGAGAGAAAAGATACGACACGACCCGTCCGCTTCGGCAACAAGCAATTCTTCACTCCCAGATATGAAAGAGAACTGAGAGAAGGAAGGGAGGTGGGACGCTGAATACCATCGGGTGATATTAATAGCACCACCTCGTGGGTTGAAGGTTCTTGCATCTATATCGTAAACATAAACATGTATTTGTATGGATCCCTTTCAAAGGGTAAGAATTCCATCTAACCGCATATGAAGATATAACTCACTAGATGATTCGCCAGTATTGCAAGCAACTTCTTGTTTTCCTCGACTGCAAACAATGCTCCACGCCCAGTCTTTTCAAGGTGGATACGCTTCGATTTGTCAGCAGCAACTGTTGAGTCCATTGCATTGATTCGGTCAAGGTAAAGCTTTAGATAAAGGCTGTCTTCGATGGCCATCAAGCAATAATCACTGCTAACGAGACGAATAAATCTGGAGGGAATGAGTCGCGGCAATCTGACGAAGCTATAACATACCGCATCGTCACATCCTTGGATAAGGTGAAAGGTGTTGGTCTGAAGGTTCGAATGACTGGCTTGCAGACGTGAGATTTATTCTCCGAGGCAGCTTTGATGTCATCTTGTCTGATCTCCAGCTGCCTGATGGTATAGCGAACGCTGGCCTGTTTGGGAGAACTAATGCTCGCCAATAAGCGGTATTGGGGGGCTGGCAATAGGTTTAGTCAAAGTTGGCTTTCAAATAAAATAAAATCTTACGGTGTCCAGAGCGGTCCCATGTTGCAGTTTCGCCTACCAGTTTATTTACAGTAAGGACAGGTCTAAAGAAAATTGAAATTTTGTTAAAAGAGAGTAGGAGACGAACTTACCCTTCTCTCCGTGGACTAGAAGTGAGATGAGAGGCAATCTCCTGATGCAGATGTTTCCAAGCTGCAAGTCTCTCCTGCTCAGCTCGCTCTGAAAAGCGCTTCCGGATCTCCATACGCATTCCGGACTGCAAATAATCCCTGATTTCCTCCCAGATACGCTCTAATTTCTTGATCTTCTCCTCGAGAATTCCAACCATCGTGGATTTGAGCTCTTTGATTGGTGCTAAGAAGACCGGGCGCTCTTCTACTAGAGGTTCCAAACTCGCACAGAACTCTACATCCTCCATAGGGGGGAGGGACCCGATTTTGATGGCTGTGTTAGGCTTTTGAGAACTCCAGGCAATCGTTGTTTGGACTATCTTGTAAAATCTAGAGCCTATACCTCCGACTTGCTCCTTTTGTGTTATATTGTAGAATTCCTGCTCGAAATCACTACGGTTGTCACCAATAAGGTCCACCAGTCGCTGGAGATCCTGGTCCGTTAACCCTTGGCACTCGTCGAGAGCCCGACGAACATAGCGGAGTTGTCTTTTCATTTTGGTATATCTTGACCTATAGTCCTTTTCAAGGACAGATAGTTGCAAATCGATGTCTGCACGCATCTTTTTACCGATTCTTGGATTAGCCTCAA